TCCCTTTTCCTTCCCTCTTCTCCATTGAGGGCAATGTCGATCTTAAGTGTGGGGGGATGTTTATTTTTTGACTGCATTAGATCTGTTTGTGTGCTTGGAGCCTAGTCCACTGTCCAAATTTTTAAATTTGAGGGCTCCAAGTACGTGTTCCTTGCAATTGCCTGCTCAGTATGCTTTGAATTGACAGTCTTTATAGTAATATGCAACCTAGGGAGGTAGTGTAGCACTATGGAGGATGTTGATGCATTTAAGAAGTCTCATTTCTTCTTCATATTGTGTTGGTTGATTGAGTGAATTAGTGATCTTAGGACCCTTGAATTGTGTGGTGCTGTGGATTTTCTACCTGTCATGGACTCTTGTGTCATGTTTTGAAAATAACAGGTGCTCGAAAATGTGCTTCAAAATAAACGTCTCCCGTGCGAATAGGGCGAAAGTGTGTAAGGGGAGACAGGAATTCGTTCCCAATTTCCACCTACTACCTCCAGCCCCCTTACATGTCTTTCCCCCGCACGAGGCTCGAGACATCCGCTCCTGGCATGGCCGGTAAGAGCAGGTTGGGACCCTTGAAAAGAAGAAGAAAAAAAAATAACAGAAAACAAGCAAAACAGAAAAAAAGGGGTTCCAACCATCTTCAAAGAAAATAGAGCACCTTGAAAATTGTGAGTCCATGATCCTTTGTTTTTGAGAATCTCTTCATCCACAATTCATTTGTTCTCTTTTCACTTTTTGCCATGATGCCGACTCGATAAGAAGCTTTGAGATGACTTGTGCGTCGGTTGACCTCATAAGTTGCTAAAAGATCTAGGAAGTCCTCTACTTACGATCTGGGTTGTTTGTTGCTATAGAGGTCTGGAGAGTTGCATTGGTTTGAGTTAGGTTTGCTTGGGGACAAGCAAACGGTTAAGTGTGGGGGAGTTTGATAACGATGTAATTGCACATATTTGCGACCCTAGTTCTTATCCGTTTGAGGGGCATAGTCGTGTGTTTTGGCCTATTTTACGCCGGGTTGTGCTATTTTGTCATGTTTCAGGTCCCAGGTGTCAAAGGGAAGGCTAAGCGCGAGTTTCAGGGCAATCGGAAGTCATTTCGGTGAGCTGGAGCCAAAACACGGGCACACCTAAATCATTACACGGCCGTGTTCTGGTGGCCGTGCTTTTTCTGCCGAGATGAGCTGATTACACGGGCAGGGCCGAATCAAAGCACGGCCGTGTTCCACCAAAGCACGGCCGTGTCCAACGCGAAGCACGGCCGTGTTTCTCCTAGTGTAATTAACACTAGCCAAAACACGGGCGGGCTGAGGCATTGCACGGCCGTGCCCTCGACCGTGCTTTGGCCACTGATGCTTTTAAGCAGATTTTCAGTCACAATTCAAGTGGATTCGAGTTTTTGAGAGATAGAACGATTCCTAGAGAGAGAAAGTGACGAGCAAGAGTTCCCAAGTGCCCTAGATTGATCTTCAACACCATTGGAGGCCAGCTTGAGCTTGGAGAAGTGCCAATCAACGTCCAGAAGCAGGAATCCATCCTTCGCAGTATGAATTCCGTGTCTGATTCTGCTTTTGCTTTCTTCTCCATGGAGTAGTTCTCCCATTCATCTGGGTATGGAGAACCCTAGATTTGTATGTTAGGCTTTGATTGTATGAACCCAAGTACTGATTCTATGATTGATTATATTCGATTGAGGTCTTAATGATTGAATGACTTGAATCCTGATCAAATTCCTGTTGTTTCTGCTTTGACCTAGAATGAGAATATCTGCCTAGGTTAATAGAGTATCCTTGATTGAAGGTAGGGAGTTGGTGACTTTAGTCGAGGAACCAACTCACTGTTCTGTACCGGATTTACTCCGGTAGTGGAGGTTTCGTTCTTAGGGCCTCAATCTGTCTACTCCTGTGGAGGTTAGTCGCCCGCTAGAGATTCAGATTGAGAGGGTCTGAAGACCTTTAGTCGAGACTTCAGGCTGTTTAAGAACCTTCCGCAGTATAACTATCATAGAAACTGAACTTGGTAATTACAATCTGGCTCAACTGCAGTCTAGGGGGAACCATATCCGGGTGACCTCTCTTAACCTGAATACAACAGTTTACTTGCTTTGTTAGTTTGATAGTTTAGACTTGCATTCCAGTTTCATTGCTAGATAACACGAATTCACTGAGTAGTCATCATATCTAGGACCCGGGTTGATAATTAAACCCAAACCCGCTATACTACGCTTTAGGAAGTGGTTTCACTTGGCCAATTCCTGGAGTGACAGTACAGTCGAGTCAAGAAGCCCGAAACCAATTTTCCCCGGTCTGCTCCAAATAATACCCGGTCGGGTATTTTTGCCCATGGTCGGGTATTTTGCAGTTTCGGGTCCCCTATCTTTGATTCTTTGTTTCTCCCTCGATCGGACTCCCAATCAGGTGCCGTTTGATCCCAGACGCTCGTAGTCTCGTCCTCTTTCTTCTCATGATAAGATTACATGATTATATGGTCACAAACGGATGTATAAATCCATTCTTCTTCAAGTCATGCCCGAGTTTCTTCCCTCGAGTCGCCAATTGATTTCCGATTGACTTGAAACTTGCACCTACGCTTCACTTTATGTGCTAGGACCTAAAATGTGACAAAGGAACACAACCTAGCGTAAAATAGGCCAAAGAAGTGATAATGCAAGCTTAAACGATCAATAAACAAAAGGGAAAACATGTGCAAATATCGAGTCATCACTATCCGTTGTGTGCTTGAGGAAGAGCGTAAAAGGGTGAGAAGGGAAGTTGAGGAGGAATAAGGGAGCATTGAGTAAGAGGAGGATCTTGATTGTTTTCAGGGGGGGGGGGGGGGGCGGGGGGAGCAAATTTGGGAAGAATGAAGGGCGGTTGACGATGCAAATGGTGTCCAAGATGAGGACGAGGTCGAGGTGACTTGGTTGTTGACTTGCTCGACCAAATCTTGCCCATGGACGCAAATGGATTTCCTTTCCCTTCAATAACTCAACCTTCGTGAGCTTTTGGTGTTTGGTTGTTCACTTGCTTGATCGAATCTTGCCCATTCTCTTAGTCCCTCCACCGTCATTTGCTCCTAATCCGATAATTTTATTCTATCCTCCTTATCTTTCCTGTATTGAGGATAATGTCGTGCTTAAGTGAGGGGAGGGGGTGTTCCATGATGTGTATATGTGTGAATGAATGGTGTAAGGAATGATTTGGCCTATTCTATGAATGCTTTGGACCTTAAGAAATGCCCAAATTTCAAAATTTTGAGGGCTTCAAGCACATGTGTGTGAATGAATTGAATATAGCGTACATTAAGAGTATGTTGGAACGTATTTTCATGCCCAAAATTAAAAAATTGGAGGTTTCCAAACACCTTGTCCCATGCATGATTCCTACTCGATATGCTTTTAAAAGTTTGATGTTATGATGGTGTGCATTATAGTGAGTAGTGTGGCGCTGCAGAGATGAATGATCATGAGTGGCTTTACTTCTATTTCCTCTTGGATTTTTTGATACTGTTTACTATCAAGGTTAGGGCATGTGTATAGGACTCTCTGCCAAAATTTTGGATAAAAAAAGTTTTGCAAAAGGTGCTCCATGTTTTGAAAAAGTTTTTAAAAAGTGTCTCACGTGAGAGGTAATAGTGTTTAAGTTAAGTAGTCGAAGAGATTTTCTTTTGGACCAGAGTGCCTTTTAAGGATGTGTGCTAGGGAAATTTCACCTAGCTTTCTAGTGTCCAACCTTCACCTTACTACTTTTTTTTATGTTTCCTTGAACACTGCTCCTCCTCATGGACTCGAATGGAAAGTTGCGTCTTATACAAAATGCTTCTTTAGCTAGAGTACAGAGACCAGACTTATGAATATCTCACATGTGTGGCAACTCGTCTATCGTATATATGGGTGTGCAGGTCCGAAATTAGTGCTTGATAGAACGGCCACCATTTTCCCTAGATGAGGCATGAAAAGGGAAGTAAATGTTGCTTATGCTCTCTCCCTGAGTTCGATACCTTGTCTTGTAAAGACATAAAAGAAATAGAATATTAGAAGTGGTGCCATGTTCGGCATTTTTAAGTTGAGGTTCAAAATTTAATTCCTCTTTTGACAAAGTAAGAGCACCACTATGGAGTCCATTGCCTCTTACATGTTTTTCTTGAGAGTCTCCAGGTGCACACGTGAAGTGTCCACACCTCTTTAGTTAGCAAGGTCCTCATCCAAGAGTGTGTTGTCACGTAGAGATGGAAGTGACATTTAGTCGCATCCGATTGTCTTTGAGGTGCTATGAATAAACTATGGTGCATACTGTTACACCCCGCTATTCCCAAAAATCAAAATGACTATTATACCCTTGGGTCAAGTACCACCGTAATATCAATGAGGACTAAAAATGCGGTGTCAAATTTGGACATAAATTGAGGAAATTACGGACGTTAATTGAGTTTCGGGTTAAACTCACGCATAATGGTGAGGTTCCCAAAATATCCTCTAACTAATTAAACCCTAGACCGTGTACCCCACTCGGCCCTCGCAGCCTCTTCTCCAGCAAAAGCAACTTGCTCTCGGGACTCGGGAAAGCAAACCAAGGCGGCGCCATCATCCGAGGGCAGGTAGAGCATATCATTCCCTCTGCTACGAGAGTTGCTTGCTTAAGCAAGCTCGTCTCCATGTTATTGCTATCGCCGCCCTGCCTTGGGAATCTCCTTGTCGCTGGTATCTGCGCCCTGCGTTGGATCGGGGGAAACAGGCAGGAGGTGGCGTTGGAGGACTTGCTCTCGGTAAATCAAGGCAAAGCGGCGCCATCAAGGGAGGCAAAATCATTATCATTTCCTCTGCTACTAGAGTTGCTGCCCTTCAATACGCTATGGAGAGCAAAGCGCGTCTCATGGTTATTACTATCACCGATGTGGACAACCAGGGGCAGTAGACTAACTGAGGAGCATCGATAGTTTGTTCCTCTCTACTACGAGAGCAGCTTAATACGGCGAGTATTTGGTCGGTTGGTCCCGGATTAGTCGCCGATCCTACTACGAGAGCAGCTTGCTTGGCCCGGCGAGTAGGAAGCCAAGGATCACACGCGCTGGTATTTGGGCGATCCCACTAGAGTTGAGGGTGGTTAGGCAGCCAAGGATCGCGTACCGGGGAGGCATCCAAGGTTCGCGGATGAGAGCAGCTTGCTTTCTCGACCGAGGGGCGCGGGGAGTATTCTCCGCCGGGTTGTTCTTCCCTCGCAAGCTCGTTCTAGCAGCCTCGCTCTTCCATCCGTTGATCGAATTGCCGGAGCGAAGAAAGTCCGCCTCCATGGACGAATCGTAGCCGTCCCCACCACGAGAGCTGCTTGCTTTAAGCAAAATCGTCTCGTTGTTATTGCCGCCTCCGCCCTTGGATGGATGAAGTGTTGGACGTCGCAAATTCTTTCACATCCGAGAGTTGCCTGCTTAATACTTAATCATAGAAGATTGCATGCAATGTAGTTAAAATCAGGATTTTGATAGTAAAATTGTAGGATTTTAGGATTTTACTTAGGGATTCCAATCCCGATTTTACTAGAAAATCGGTGGACCTTAAAATCGTTCAAAATCGGGATTAAAAACGTACCAAAATCAGGATTTTGATCCTATGTGAATAAAATATGTGGTTTGAGCCAATTCAAAAGAAGCAGAATTGTTTCGGCGGAAATGCTACTAACGGGGATCTTCTCATATATTTTTCATATTAAAAGAACATTTGAAAAAAAACCAAATTAGGGTTCGTTCAACCCCTTTCCCTTCCACTTGTTTAACTCGTCGATAAAACCGTTGTCATAATATTATAAATACGTAAGAATTAACATTATTAATTAACAAATTGATTAATGAATATGACATTAATTATTTTATTGGAGTTCACTTATTCTTAGTTTTAAATCATGCTTAGTAGATGATGTCGGAATACTATTTTGAGTTAAACTACCTAAAGACAATATGAAAACAAGAGCCAAACCCCATGAGCTCTATCCCCTTCTCATAAATTATTTTGAGTTATGCATTGAATAACAATTAAAATGATGATTTTGGAACAATCTTGAAAATTATCATTTTAAATGTTATATTTTTTTTACCTTATTAATGATTTACCTTATTAACGATTCTACGATTTGATTTTACGATTCCGATTTTACCCTAGTTTTCAATTTTAGGTAAAATCTTGATTTTAACTGCTTTGATTGCATGGAGTGCGAACATTACAATAATAAGGATAATATTTTGGAAGCGAGTATGGAAACTTTGGAGCAAAATCAGTCACAGTTCCGACGGAGGTAAGGTGAGTGTAAAGGGGGTAAATTCTACGCCTTACGAGTTTTCAAATATTTTCCTTGAGTATTTTCAAGTATTGAATTACGTGATCTATGTGCAGTGTTTGATTCATGTTTGAGATTGCATGATTATGTTTAATAGTATGTGCTTTGGTTGAGCTATGATTTGAAGTGAAGGTGTATGAGTTTATATCTTACTCTGAAGTTTTTGTTTATGAGTAATTATTAAAGCTTAAGATCAAGTCCTTTTAAGAAGTACTTTTTAAGTGTTTTTAGTCACTAGCGCCAGTCCGTTGCCATTTGAGATTTTCAGATAGAGCAGCAGTTATGCTCTTGAGATCTTTGAGACAGAGCAACAGTTTTGCTCTTGAGATATTTAAGTTCAGCAGCAGTTATGCTCTTGAGATTTTTAAGATGAGCAACAGTTATGCTCTTGAGAATCGTGGAAGAAGAGCCTTCCACGATAAGTTTAAGTTTAAGGAAAGCCTTGATGGCTTCTCATACGTATGAGTTGGCAACCGGACTAGCTAGAGAGGGATCCCCGTGTCAGTCAAGTATTTAAGTCGAAATTTGAGCTTTAAGAATGGAGAGTAACAGTAACTCCCATACAGTTTTAAGAGTTAAGCTTTTTAATAGGGGAAGTACAAAAAAACTTCCACTCAATTAAGTAAAGTGATCAAGTATTAATAAGATGTTAAACGTAAGGGCGTAGACTGACCCCATCTCACTCACCAGTTTGAAGAGCTAGAAGAGGAGCTAGAGGAGCAGTTAGTGAGCAGCGAGTTCGAGGGCATCCAGCTAGAGGAGGGCAGCATAAGCGTCACGGAGGATGCTTACTCAAGCTTTTCAGTAGCAACAACATTAGAGATTATTAGTTATTTACATTAATGATTAAGAGTATAGACTGGAGATCATTTTGTGATTTTAAGTATTGAGTTCGCCCATGTGTTAGGGCGTTGCTTTGAACGGCAAGTGTGTGTTTTCAGTATTTTATTTATGAAAATTTTTCCCGCTGCAATTTAAGATTTGAGTATTTTATTTATCAAGGGAATTTTATTAAAATTAGTTCCCTGCCGGGTTAGGGTGTTTCACATACCATTGTGAATTTCTTGTAGGTTGCATTAGTGTGATTTAGGTTTGCTAGGGGACAAGCAAACAATTAAGTGTGGGGGAGTTTGATACAAGGCTAATTGTACATGGTTTAACCCTTCATATCTTGATTGTTCGACCTGGTAACCATCATTTCTCGGCCTATTTTACGCTAGTTTGTTCTTCTTTTTTCATATTTTGAGGACAAGTTTATGGACATTCGAAGGTCAAAATGTTGTGCAAGGTTCACGAGTGGGTGCAATGTTCATGGTTTGGGGGCATGGAAATCACCCAAAAAATATGAAACACACATTTCTAGCAGCACATCTCCTTCCCGCGGGCATGGTAGCACTACATGCCCTTGGGGCATGATAATAACACCAAAACTATGAAGTATGCACAAAACGGTGTGTTTCAGCTGAGATCACTGTTTGCACAATTCACGGACGTGAAGTTTACACTAAAATTGTGATCCTTGCCCTATTACTGGTATAAATTTACAGAAATTTATTTTGAGCAGAGAGAGCTGGGGTTTGGACCCCAAAATACTCAAGGGGCGATTCTAGAGAGAGAGAGAGACCTAAGAGAGTTCTTGGAGTAATTTTGCAGATGCCCAACCCCATTGGAACTTGAAGATCATCCAAAGAAGATAAAGATGACTTATGTTGATGAATCCTAGGTCTAGATTTTGGTTTGATTGTTGATGTATATGACAAATCCTATGTTTGATTACTCCTATTATCTATTTGATTGATGTTTATGATGAATTGCATGAGTCTTGGCCATTCTCTTGTCAATTGAGATTTTGATATAAGAGAGAGAATATCCCCTAGGTTGAATAGAGCACCTTCAATCATTCACTATGGGTGTTTGAACGTGTGATAAGATCCGTAGGGCCATATTGGGTCTTGTCCAATCATGAGAGTTGGGGGTGGTGAACATCTTAATTGGCTAGTTCAGTTGTGTGGTACGCCCCTCAGGGTAGTTCATTGAGGGGGTTGGATACCTCGAATAGGGGGTCCAACCTAGTATAGAATTCTCCAGGGTAGAACTATCAAGTCAATCAATTCATGGTAGTACTATATATTGAACAAATGATGAAATTAAGGGGGATTCATGCCTAAGTGAGCCTCCAATCTTGTAATTAGCCAGGGTAGGGGATAGGTTAGTGTAGTTAGATTAGTCTCAATTACAATTCTTGTTTGGCTAGATAAATACCTAAGTTGAAGTAATGGTATATCTAAAGACATGTGGTTCGATAATTTTATTGCTTTATTATGCTACAACTGGTCGTTGGTTATGCTCGGCCTTCGATTGAGAATGTGTGGTTAGATCATAGTCAATCCCTTAACTATGGGTCCACATTCTCGAGGAGCGAGCTAGCACAACTGCCAGTTCTCCAACACTCTATTTGACAAATAGGGGAGGTGTAAGTTTGAGGTAGTGCAAATTAGATGGAGGGTGTAACTTTGAGAGATGTGTGAGCTGAGTGATAAATTGTTGTTTGGGAAGAAAAATGTAAATGAAGTGAAAAAATAAGTCATTATAGCATTATAATAAAAAAAGTATGGTAATAAAATAAAAATGGTTACAATAATCATAAATAAATATTAAGAAATATTCTAGTTCATTGCAATTCAAAAGGATTAACATTGACTCACTAGCTTGGCCGAATCAACAGTTGAAATTAGTTTCACAAACTTGCTTGTTGAAGTCAAGCGACAAGCACTAGATATTGTCTTTATTAATATAAATACAATAATATATTATAATGATAATTACACAGAAATATAATTAAAATACATATAAAAATTCTAATTTTTATTTATAATATAATTATTATATTATAATTTATATCATTAATTTTCAAACAGAAAAAAGAGAAGGAAATGAATGGTGGATATGGGTTGGCATGTTGCAAACATCTTAAGTAACTCATTCCTTAAACCTTGTATAAATATGACCATAATCTATGATAGAGTGCGTAACTGAATTCAATCTTTTGATTTTGAGCAGAATCAAATCTAATGATTGATATTAATGTTTATTATGATCTTTTGTGATCTACAAATTTATAATTTTTTTAGGAAACTTACCACCTTGATATATAGTGGTAACTTGTGGTAGACAATGGTGTGAAAGATGATAAAGGATAGTTAGTATATTCCTACTATTATATATACAATCATTCTACACTAGAATATACACGTAACACCATGATACACTTTCATACCAGTATACCACTAATCTTATGTATTACTGAACATTACCACCATACTATATATACACTAGTTATATGTCTTATATGTTTTTGTTCCAAAATATATCAGTGGACGTTTGGATTGATGATTTGGAAAACTTGTTATTTGGAACCAATTACCACACAAATAACACATAACAGAATATTTGTTATTTGGTATGTGATATTTGGCCCCAAATAACATGTTTGTTTTATTTTGAAAATACTTGAGGAAAAAATCCCAAACTACCATCGTTTAAAAAAATTACAAAACTACCACCCAACCTAACAAAATTCCAAAAGTAGCACCATTAATCAAAAACTGCACCTCGGAGGGGGGTTCTCCTTCAAACCGTGCTGGGAACAGACAAATCTTGCTAGGGCAGCCGAAAAAATGCTTCTCCACGTGGCGGTCCATGCAACCGGGCGATTGGGAGGCGATCCGACGGCTAACCGCCTGCTAGCGGGGCGATTTGCGTCTCATCCTTGTGACCGTTCCCAAAGGGAGCGGTTTACGCTTTGGGAAGGGAAACCGTTCGCCCCGGGGGGGGGGGGGGGGGGGGGGGGGGGGGGTTCTGGTGGGGGAGAATTACCATACCTCCCCCACCAGGCAGTCCATACCCTATAAAAACCCCACTCCTCTCATTTTCTTCACACCAAAACCAATATCCTCTCTCTCT